TAATATTAAAAATTATTACATACTTCTACGAGTATAACAAAAAATAAAATAGAATATACGGCATATACGACTAACACGATAGGGGTGACAAAATGACTTAATGATGAATCAGTTTTAACAAATCGCTATGGCACATCACATAGTACTATTTACTATCGGTCGTGGCGCAGATTATATTATTTTTATTTTATTTCTATCACTTTTGGCGAAAATTACATACAACCGGACTGACAACGTGTCTTACCATAATACACTAACGCATTTTTCACACCGTTTTTATGACGGATAATAAAAATAAATGTTATATTCGAACTAAATCGATCGCGGTACATTATATGGTATGTAATACGTCGGAATTGTTTAAAACGGGTTCGTATGGTTTAGCACCTAAATGATGGGCGTCATTTAAGTCCAAATTTTGGGGTAACAAAGTTTATTTTATTTAGAAAGTTGATAAATAAATGTTTAAAGGTTTAACATGATAACTAGCTTACTGGCTTAACTGGCTTATTTAAACGGCTAACTCTTCTTCATAAATCTTGGTATGACGTTTAGTGTATACACTGTTTTATTGTCCGTATTGGACTTATTACAAAATATAATTATTTTGGATACAATCACAATAATAGATGGTCTATGTTCGTACACACTTGAATAATTAACTTAGAATATATTTTTAAAATCTATAAACTTTTTTGGGCTAGCAAAAGATACCCCACAACAATTTCTGGGGTAGCAAAGATACCTCTCGATACCCCTTAGTAACGCCTACGACCTAAATAATAATATTCATTGAAAATGCCTGAACGGAACAAATAATTTTCTTGTCATCTCGTACCTCGTTCATTTCATCACTCCGGTAGCGAGGCGTGCCGTGCGTGCGTGCGCGTTTGTGACCCGTCACGACAATGCGCGCGCGGTCGCGACACGAAGAGCCAAACGGAGCGGAAACATTTAGCCCATTGATGGACGTGCGCGTCGCCGGTCCAACTGCGGTACACAACGACGACGACGACGACGATGATGATGATGATGATGATGATGATGGTGGTGGTGGTCATGACGATCATGACGACGACGATAATAGCAATAACAATGTACGACACGAGAACGCATCCGGGAAATTTGTCGACACCGCCCCCGCACGTACGAGTCCTTTTCGCGGTATGCGGTATACGTAGGTATAAACATTGTACCATCTTCAGTGCACAATACTAGCGGAGCAATAGTAATCACAATAATAATAATAATAATATTAATAATGTACGGTCCAGTCGGGGAGGAAAAAAAAAAATTCGAGGAAACGCGTTCGGGCGGCACTAGTAATAATATAACATAATAATAATAACGCGCTGCCCATTGTGCGGCGTTGGCAGGACCTGCACGGCGACGAGGACGCTGTTGGCGACCCGGAGCCGTCGGCGGACGCGAAGACGTACCTCACATTATTATCAAGCACGGAAATTATTCGTTTGGCCGAAAGACGTTGGGGGTGGTTTTTTTTTTTTTTTTTCTTCACCTTTTTCTTTTTTTTCGAAACGTCCGAGAAACGTCTCTGTCACGCCGGACGCGTTCGTGTTTACTGCTCCGTGCGCACAACGTTTACGGTTCAATACGTTAATCGCGCTAATTTCGTCATTCTGATTCGCCGGATCCGTGTGTGCGGCGGGGGCTCGCACCGCATCTATTATTATCGTGTCGGGAAACGGTCGCATTTTTAAACCCGTTTCATGCGCGTCACAATACGCGTCGTTCGCGAAACGGTCCCTGCACTCGGTTGGTACGCGACAGAGGCATTTCTATTATGTACTTAGACATTAGAGGGTAGCAGCTACCCACCGAACTATTATTGTAATATACATGCGCGTCTGGTCGCTTTTGTTTCCTCCGCTCGCACCGCCGCCAAGACGTCCGCAAAGTCTACGCGCGACAGTGGACCCTTGAATTCTGCGGACGTGAATACGGGGAAAAAATCAAGAAAAAAAGAAAAAAAACTAATTCATAATACGTCCGAGTGTCCGTGCACACGCTCGCACGTTTACGTGTACAAGTATTACCTGTAGATAATACCTTGACAATACACATAACACGCTCGTCGTCCATCGTTGTACTATTATGCGTACCGACCGGTGAGTATATAAGATGCGCACATCAAACAATAATAAAAGTACAGACGAATATTTTTACGACTTTGAAAACAACCCTTTTGTCCGCTGTACTTAAATTTGTATGTGTATAATACGTTTCGGTTGTTCGCGAAAATACTCCGAACCGTATTTTCAATCGATTCGCATAGACGCATCGCGGCTTCACTGTTCCGTTCGTTTCATCATCGCGTTGGAGGATTCAAGTCTTGGGAGGCCAGGGTATAACTATACAAATCGAAGGTCCCTTAAAAAAAATAAATAAATAAATAAATAAAAAATATACACAAACGGCCTTATCTATTTATTCGGGACAACTGTTAAAATGGAATAGATAGTAATAATAAGAACGAGCTAAAAACAAACTATTGTCCAATGAACAATAATATCACAGTTGTTTGTATAATATCTGTATAAATTGTTAAATGATTGATGGTAAAATGTTTTTGATATATTGTACAGTCATAATGTATTATTCTATGCTAAAAGAAAATCTTGGACCTGCATCCGAGCCCCATAAAAAAATATCAGCTTTAAGGCCCCGGCGTTTCTCATCATTTGCACCCTCACTAAATTCAGCACTGATTAGACACACTTAACAGAAAATGCTGTAGCACTATAAGCCCTATAAAAGTTTTACTTGTTGAAATGGACTGTTGCAATAATAATTAGAAACCCGTTGTTTTTGTTGATTGACCAACCTACGAGTATATTATAAACTAACGTTTCGTAAGGCGTCTTTTGTACATGTGAATAATAAATGTATTTGCAAATATAAATGGGCTATCCACACACACACACACGTGGAACGAACGTTGTATGTTTTACAATCAACCGTGTTCAACAAAAAATTAATGAATTTATATTTACATTAAAAAAGTTAAGGAATGCCTGATGAACGCACAGTATATTGCGTAGAAGGTGAAACATTTGTTAATAGACATCTTCAAAATCGAACTATTTAGGACAAAAATACATGCTATACCACGTAGCTTAATAATCATAATGATATTTTGATAACATAAAATCTTAACAATAATGTACTAAAATTTGGTCCCAAGTATCTAAAAGTTTATCTTTCAATTTTGAACTTTTTATCATACTATAATTCATGATAATATAATTAGAACTGTGTATCTATAATATATCCTAAGTCATTTTTATACTTATATTTTTACAATGAAAAAATAAAATTAGATTTATGTAGTTATGTCTCTATTTTACTCCAAAAAATGTTGATCTATACAAACCTCATACCGAACCTATTGTATTAGTTGTTATAATATGCCATAAATACTACAAACAATGTTAATGTACCTACCTGCTAATCCGCTCACCTAAATTTTAAACACATATAAAATATAAATAATATACGTATGGTTAGATGTTATTGGTTATTGGTTCGATGTTAAATTGTTATGTACGGAAAAAAATATTCCACCTCAATACATAAAATAAAAAGTATATTTTGTCTCGTGATAAAAGGAAAAAAAAGAAAAAAAATCATAAATGTAGACATAAAAAAAAATGTGAAAATTATAGGTTTGCGATAGCTTAAGTTTTTATACTTATAAATCATAACTTTTGTGATTTGCTGTAATTTTGTAAGTATTGTTCATCAATGGAAAAACAAATAAATGTAATGGCACTATTAAACGTTAAAAATGGTTTTGAAAAAAAAAAGTAGGTACCTGCTAAGTCACTTTTTTTAAAAATAAAAAGAACATTGAAAATAATAATAATATTTGTAATTAATGTATTGTAGGTGGGTTCGGTGAATGGCGCCTCATAAATAAAATGTTAATATACAGCTAGGTGAATAATTCACCAATTATTGCGTCTCCGATATTTTTTTTCAAGTAGGTGAATTGCGTTCACTATGATAATTTTCTAAATGTTTTAAAACAATAGAATTTCAAATAAAGTCAATTTTTAAAGTTTATTTTTGGGTTGCTTTTCTTCCATTCAGTTGAGGTTCAAGAGTGATTTCAAAATGGTTTACTATCCATTTCATTCATTGAAGATGAACGAATTAATAATTCCATAGACTACACATTTAAAACTTACATTATAACAGATGCAAGTTTCCCTCCAAATCTTTGGGCTGAATTTGCACTAACGAATAATTGGACAACCAACATTTGTGAGGCATTTCAATTTAAATGAAATAATCTATTTATGGTTAGTCATCCAAGTATTTATAACTTTATTGATGTTTTAAAAAATATTCAGCCTAAAACATACATAGAAATACGAAGTAATGGACAAAGAAAATCCCATCAAATTGTGGAGAAAGAAAATTTTTTTCGAGAAAAAATCATTGAATGTAAAAATAAATTGTTGACCAGATTCGAATACGTCAAAGCCGTTTCTTTAAATTTTTACTTGTTTAAAATATATAATACATTATTATAATTTAAATATAAAATATATTATATTATACTATTATAATTGTTTTTACATAAATGATTGACAAATAAATGAGTAATATTGATATACAAATATGATATTAAATTACAACAGGGACGCAATTCACCTAACACCTTATAGAAAATGATTTTATATAAAAAAAAAACTACATAATGGAACCAAAATGTATACCTTAAATGGTATACGTGACAAACATATCGGGACTAATTTTACGCTAATAAACATGCGGTTTAACTGGTTTTTCTTTTATTAATCATCTTGTAAAAATAAAAAATAAAAACATTAAAAAGTTACTGATTCGTTTCGTTTAATTTTACATTTATAAAATGGTGTTATACATTGAAAACATGTCGTCTTTTCCTTTATATACTTTTTCTCTAAAACATATGCAAGACCTACATCTCTGAATATAATATATAATAACATCCTCCTTTGTGGATCTAATTGATACCTAGACAGCCTCTGAACGGTTCATCAATTAGTTTATTGCACAGATTATGGAATGCTACGGAATCCTGCAAAGGAAAAATAATTCAATTATTATGAGCAAGCGAAAAGTTACACTTTACGTTTTTAATATTACACGTGGGATATACTTAATACAATCATAACTTATAATATTTATATATATGTCATTGCATCTTGAATTATAATAAATAACATAATTACCATACGCATTAAGATTTTATTATGAAGTGTGACTAATCAGTATATAATTGAAATATCAACACGGTGTTATGTATTACTTCGAAAGTTTTTAATTCCATGTTTTTCGTAATTTCCGAGCCATAGTCGACCATTTTGTATTGCCGAGTTGATCGTGGCAAATGTAGTCCAATTTCTTTTTTGCGCTCGGATAGTAGTTTTTTGTAATCAGGTCCATGCTTGTAAATGTCGTAGACGGTAGACTCTCCGAATTCGAGCTCTTTGAATTCATAGCCTAGATCCTTGGTCTCGGAATGAATAATAGTCCCGTATAAGGCATTGATATTCTTGAGAAAATTTGGTAGTATGGGCCGTAGCTGCTCCAAAAAATAAATACAATCGTTTTCATTTGTTTATCGTTGCTGTTAATATTATTAAGTGGACGTTGAAAAAAAATGAAAAAAAAAAAATTTTGCATATTCTTTTGTTACAATTTCCTTTTCTTTTGGAATCGGTCCGCACGCACGACGTCTTAGAATCACAACGGGATGCTGTAAAATGCCTTTGTTTACTTCTTTCGGGTCAATTTTAAAATCTAATACCATCTCGGTTTCCCATTTCAAGTGTGAAATCTGTGTGACGAAAAAAAAAAATAAATATGTGCGCGTGCTCATTCAATAAATTACTTAAACTGTAGGTGTTTATACTATACTCTTAAATCTGTTAAAACTTTCAACGGCTTTGGTATACGTAAAAGCAAATTCTGCGTACGAGGTCTCCGATTACTTCGTTTTTTTCTCAACTGCAGTGTATTATGCTCGAATAGACTTGTATCGACCATTTTCATGATTTTGAATGTTAAATTTCTACCGAGAACTGTATTGTATGAGGATAATTAAAAAAATCTTAGTTAAATTTTATGTTAACAGTTTGAATAAGATGGGCAATTTATAACCAAAAGAATAGATACAAGTAACCGTAGAAACTGATGAATAGGTATATTCATATATATATATATATCAAGGCATTTTGACAACTATAATTTTAAAATTCCAAAAATTATCAATTCACCGTAATTTAAGAAAATTCTTATGCTATATAATAAATGTAAAAATTGTCCTCGTATTAACACAATATTCTTATTAAATGTTATATTGTGTACATATAAAAATAAATAAATTATCTGTATGTTGTATTTAGGCTTTTCAACATATTTCTTTTAAAGTTCCTAAGTATTTCAACAGTTGATACTTTGTTAATTAAATGACTTGTTACAAAATAGTGGAAAAAACAACAACATGAAAACAGTGATAAAATTAATAATTATTATAGTTCTTCTCAAAAAATATACTATTTAAAGAGTGAAATTCGGTATCTATTAATAAAGTGTCATTTACAATGTGGCAACGTATGATATATATTAGTTAGATTTATATTAGTATTAATTATATTATAATTAGTTTTTGGAGAATTATACGTAATGATAAGTATTAAAAATATAAAAGTGTAGTTATTAGTGATGCATAAATTATAGTAATATTTCTGATATTTAATTGTATTCGTATTAAAAGAATTATTACATAATTGTGTGAAATTAATCGTGGTTTTAAAATCGTTGAAAATGTTATCAAAGCTAGTGCACGTAATTATTTTGAGCGCGTAATTTCCAAAAGGGATGGTAACCTATACAATTAAAAATTAAATCATAGAACTCACGACGAAAATAATAATGTATCTTAATAATAATACATTAAACAACTATAAACGGCAAAGTTAAATATTAAAACTAGTGATAGGAATTATTCGATTATTTGAATATTCAAATATCAGTATTCGATGCTACAATACAATACGTAACGCAAATTATTCGTTTAAGTTTTCGCGCAACACAAAACGTTTAATAATAATATTATATGGCTTATAGTGCATAAAGACCTGTGAGAAGTGGATTCGAAGCCAGCGATATTTACTCTTTGACAGGACAATTAAAATACAAAAATAAAAATTGTGCAAAATACTTGAATATCATAATTAAATTATTATTTAATACCGTATAAACTATAAATCACTATAGCGAGCATCGATTAGAACGAGATACTGCTTACAAGCAAAACGTTAGGTCCCGGCACGGCACATATGATTGTATGTTAAAATATACATCTACAATGAGTATGGTTATTACGAGTTATCGGCTATAAGGAGCAAAATAAAGCTAACTACGAACAGGTACCTGCAAGATAAGAACTATTTTCGTATTTAGGTCGATTAATCATTGACATACATTATCTTTAGTTGTGTAGATATGGATTTCTTATTAATAATAAATAGTATAAAAAGGTTGTTATGGAAAAAACGGATAAAACAAATTAGGTATTGTAACATCGAATACTGAACTATTCGAACGATATAATATTCGAATATTTGAATTATTCGCGATAGAATTATTCGAATTTGAATCTTCGGATAATTAGATTATTCGAATATACATTACATTACTAATTAAAACATATAATACATAAATGTAAACTCTCTTCGTTCTGATAATACGTAACAATTGTAAGTAGCTCGAAATAAGCTTTCAAATGGTGTACTTGAGAAAAAATGTATAGAGGTATCACTCGGCTTACACTAGGTCAGTGAAACAGCCGCGAGTTTTGACCTCTCATAATAACGTTTAGCACAACAAAAGAACCAAAATAATTGGATATCCAAAGTTAGTTATACCTTGCTTGCTGTTCAGGGTTTGTTCGAATTCTAATCAGTGCGATTGCAATGACATGATTCGTTTGACGTATTAATTATCTTTTGCCCGTGCTAACGATGTACGGGTATTCCATTAAAACACCATCGTTAAACGTCTTGTGAAATATGTAGAAGTAAATTATTATTGCTGAACGTTACATTGCAGAGCGGACCGATCGTATGTTTTCTCGGGGATAATGTCGAGCTTACTCGTATCGTTATTATTTATTCTACGCATATAATGCACCGTAAGCCGACGCGCCTTTTGAATAAGTCTTGTCGTCAGATGGCAAAACGTCAACCGTTTACTCGCCTGTTGAATGTTTCTAAATAATAATAATAACGTGAACAACATAGTGTGTGTTTGGTGCGTAAGCGTATGCGTATGCGTGCGTGCGTGTGTGTGTGTGTGTGTGTGTGTTTAATACATGTAATAGTAGTATATCTCGCATTCGGCGAGTTTCGCAGTCGAAATACATTTTTGCCGTCATGGTCCTGGTCGGTTTGCCGCAGATGGCAAACGAATAATAATGATGAATTGTAAAGGACAAACATACATGCAGAGTGGTCCATTAGCGGCGACTGTGGCGGTGTTCTGTGATCGGCCGAAAGGGTTTGCTTTGATTATTATACAGACGCGCGCACACGCGCTCGCACATATACGTATAGGTATACACCATTAGGGTTCAACACGTGCCCCGGTTATGGCTAAAATAATAACAAATATCACGCGAGTCCTGAAATGACGTATGTATAAGGAGGACAAAGTAAACACGGGCATAATACACATAGATCCGTTTGACGGACTAATATTTCAAAAATCATCTTCCACATAGTAACACTTGGAATATGTACAAAAGTCATGAACCCCATCATCGCCCTGTTTACATAATAGTAATGATAATACTATTTCCTTGTACTCTATTTTCTTTTTGTCGTAGTAGGCATTCGGTAACGTAGGCGAAATACAAGTCGAGTAAACGAGATTTGTCATTAAAAAACTTAAAAATGTCAATGAGCGTTCCGCAAATTAAAATTAATTATTTTTGTATTTATATGCACTTTATTACTAAATTCGTAGATAGGAAAAATCGTGTTACAGAAAATCCGAAAAGAAATGTGCAAAAGTCATAACATCTGGATACCAGTCCCGACAAACGATTGAGGAATTTTGAGTGACACTAATTGTATGAAAACGTTTAACTTGCTCTCATAATATGGTTAATTTTATTTTCATCTCAGCTCATTATGTATTAATATAATGTATTCGCCTGGGATTCCATCGTTTGATCCACAAAATATATAAAAAATTATCGTTCGTGTTTGGTCACACAAATCGTAACTGATAAATGCGTGAGCATTTAAGTGTGTTCATAGACTAACCGGGGGTCACGGGGTGAACGCTGTTACCTTTTATCGATCCGGTGAATTTGAAAAAACTGGTTAAGATAGACTTGGGCCGACTGTCTGTCCGGTTAATGACAGCTTCAATCACATTTTTCCTAGTGATCTATGAGATTGTGAAATAAAAATTACGTCACACTTGTAAATATTATTCGTGTACTATCTTGAAAAGTTTATTTATTTATGTGAATGTGATATTGATAAGTTTAGTTTTATTTCTAAAAAACACCAAATAATAATGCAAAATCATTGACACTTGTAACGTTAAAACTGAAGTTTATTTTTTATAAAAGTATATACGTGTGTATGTGTGTGTGTGTGTGTGTGTGTATGTAAATAGAAAATAATGCAACAAAACATATTAGAATTGACGGTGCTCGATATCAATGTATTTATACGACCGTGAAGTCTGGACGTGTGTGGTCCGGAAGTATACAAAATTGCAGTAATTTTTGCAAAAGTGATACCGTCGAAAGGATTACGAAGTGAAAATGAAACGCGAAAAGACAAATGTAGGATAAATGGCTATATAGCGAAAGAATTCGCGTGCATTTCAGACAAAAGTATAAAATGAAGCAATAAAACCACTATTATAGAATTTATTCAAACAATAACAGTCGTTCAATTCGAGAAACTGGATTATCTTAGATATTTCAAATCATCCGAACTAAATAAATTATTAACAATTAGCTATTACGAGTAGTTGGTATTTTTTTCTTTGATTGTTATTCTTCAAAATACATAATAAAAATGACTGTTAGTTATTATGATAATAATTACAATTAATATTACATTATTTTAATCGAATATTGCGAAAATAAATATTGATAATAAATGTGTTTACTACAATGTTAACACATTATATATAAAGTATAATATATACAGTATAAAAACAAATGTTTACTTATGTAATCTCTAAATAATTGAAGTTTAATTAGATAAAAGTTCAACAAATTTAGATCTTGTGCGGTAGAAAGACATTTTTCGATAATATTATGATCCTTAACTTGATGTGTATGTATTAATAATTCGATTACGCGATATGAAAATTATTTACAACTGCAAATTATCATTGCTTGTCGATATTTTTAATTTTCTACATCAACAATTTAAATATTTTTACGTAAGCATTTTCAGATTGTGATATTGAATTAAATAAAATATTAATTATAGTAATAAGTTAAGTATTATTTATAGATGTTATAATTGATAAACGACTACGGAATTCTTGTGTAGTCTTTATTTTTGAAAATTTTTGAGGCTACTTTTGAAATCGTTTATAAAACCTCGCCTTGATTTTGTTTATGAACAGTATTTATTAAAAATCGAAGATTCACTTTATTTTATTTTTCTATGCAAAATATTTGCTCATACATTGTATGACATTTTTTGATTCTGTATAGATATACTGTAAACACATTTAAAAGTATTTTTTTTTACTGTTTAAATCAATAAATATTCATGGGAACTCTGAAAATTGACATCTGACATGTTTTGTATCCTGACGTGTACTCGTAACACGAACAAATTAAATCCGTATTTTTTTGTAACATAAGACTTGCTGCAAATTAAAAAAATACTTCTTAAATCACACGGGACTACATCGAGAAGAAATTGATTTATTACAATGGTTGATTAAAATAAATTCATTCTAACTAAATAGTCACTTCGTGAGCTGTACATTAACGATTTCCTACAGTAAAAAGAGCATTTGAATTTTTTAAAAAAATGATTACTGACCAACTTAGGAGTAAGTCATCTCTTGGTGCTGTAGTGTGCCGCCGGTCACTATTCTAATTGACATATTTAATGCAAGTTAAGTTTTTATGTTTTTTTTTTATTTATATTTATTATAAATATGTTGTTGAGAATCCTGTACCAAAGTCGACGAGAAGTAAGAGGCGCTTGCGCGGATGTTTAAGAATGGTGAGTTAAAAATTAAATGTACTTTTCCTAAGACGTCGATATGACAGCCAAATTCAGAAAGAACAAAAAGATTAAAGAGGTTTCGGTTTTGTGAACGATTAAGGGGTTCATTACATTTTCAAGAAACCGAAAGTTACAAATAACTTTCATTATTTATTTTGCGTTCACCTTTTCTGATTTTCCAGTGTTTTATGTACGGCCGTGGGCGATTTTCAACAAGCGAATCAACTTATTGAACCATGCAAAAATTACGTCTTTAAAACAAGAAATACTTTTGTGTTAGATAGAGTGTTCAAGTGTAAATCATAATACGTTACCGTTTATTAATAGTACGCGCTGTGGCAGTGAACAATATTGATTATTTTTATGTTATTTTTGTTCGAAACATTGCATAATCGTCGGGTTATCTGAACACAATACAACCGGTTGAATTCGACAGTGAACGCATTCGACCTTTCTGACAACGTACGGACGCGTGCATGCGTGTCGTTGGTAAATCAAAGACCAATAAAATGTCCGCGGGGAAATGCTCTGAATAATAATAACAAACAAACAAGCGATTGTATAGTAGCACTCAAAACGTCATCTTAAAATGTTCGCAGCTTATTGTTATTGCGTAGACGTTCTGTTTTAAATGTTCGGAAATCGAAAAACACTGATTCAATATTTTTGCGTACTCACGCGTGCACCGAACAACGTGCCCAGAGAGTAGGTATACACCACGCGAGATGTCATGTAATGTTTACAATCTTATTATTTTCAACCAGCGTTGTATGCCTGGTGAATTATAGAAAAATAATATTTATGACGGGCATTGGATCGAACACAATTCATAATTTATATTTGTAAAACCAAACCGAGTTTTGATTGTACAACGCGATCCTGTATGGACAGTTAAATCAAA